ATTATGGTGGGATGATTTTTCCGGAGTAAACTTGGCATGGCTGGCCAGAAGTCTGTCGGGGAAAAGCTAATAAGCTACTGTGCATGGGCGTAATTATATGTTCGTGAGGTCAGTTATGAGAACCTCAATCATTTCAAAACCCCATTTTATAGAACTGGTTCTATCTAGAGGCATGCCTCAACATTCTGATATACATGTGGTCGAAATGCCTTGCACGCTTAGTCCCCTTCCCCCTACAAGTCACACTTTTCTCCCGGTTACCTGCCTCCCACAAACAATATATTACCGTCTCTTTCCCAAACCCCCGCCTGCCCATAGTAAGAAAATGCATTTGGACTGCGCTCACACGTAATCAGTCGCCCCAAATGAATTAAACATACAGGGCTCTATACAGGTCTGATAATTATTTGATTAAAATATTCTCCCATTCTCCTGGAGTCTCTAGGATGGCGATGAACTTGTCATCAGAAGTGACTTACTCATCGCCAGATAAAATTCTTAATGGGTAGTGATTGCGTTTCCTTTCGTTTAAATCTGACAAGCATGCTTTCACTCCAATCATATATGTATTGCCAAAAGAATGACATGAAAAGACTTCATGGATGCCAGTGTTGTAATCTCGTGATATTTTGAGATGAGATAGTTTTTCCACCGTTCAGAAAGTTTACTGGGTGACGGTCGTGTTGAGGTATTACAGGGAGCACTGTAGTCTGCACTGCCGAAAGTGGGGTGTTGCCTTAGTGACGTTCGCCTTCACGCTTCACCCCACGCTTATCTGTCGGAAGTCTATGTTCGCGGTCACCTCTGATCGTCCAAATTATCTCGTTGGAACCCATCATCCGCACTGGCACTTTATGCAACTTCAGTGTTTTTGGCGTTTTTTCGCCTTACCCCGTCATGGCTTATCTATGTTTGCGTTCTATATGGGTTATCCTGCGCCTGTTGTAGCGCTTAACCCAGACTCTCATCACTTTCCTTTGATTGAAAGACGCACAAAGGACCTCATGGCCCACAAGTAAGCCTGCACAATGGCTGTGTGTGTATCAAGCACCTAGTGTTCCTCTGGCCGCGAAGCTCTTTCTTTGGCCTTGGAATTCTGTGTCTTGGGAAGCGAGCACGTGCCCAAATTCGCGCGTTGTCCCGTATCCTGAGACAAAGTTCCAGTTCTTCTGAGCGTCTTGCGTATTCTCTCGCGTACTCTTGTAATGGCCTTTATAAAAATTACTCCCGAGCCCCTGCGCCGACGTTTAAAGTCTCCTTCGTAGCAGGGGAGCCTCAGGTTTCATTATCTGCTGCCCGTTCGTTCTGTACACCATGCCGACCCGAAAGGTCGTAGCTGATGGACAAGTGTCACGAAAACGCCCTTAATAGCGGACCCACCCGCCAGACTTTTCGGCTTCAGTCATCAAATCTTCGGTCGAGCTGCAGTGCCCTCCGTGCATTCGGTGAAGTTGCAGGACCACCCGCTGCTCAAGAGGAGGAGATAGCGATAGAGGTTTCCGATAATTGTGTTGTCAGTCTCACAACAGTGTATCACTGCCCACGATTAGAAAGTCCAAACAGGTGCAGTTTTTGTTCAATAGAAATTTGCTACGACACCTTGAACTTCGACTTCTGTTTGTGACTTACTAATGCACCGTCCCTTTCAAGTTCCGGTTGAGAGTTCGATAAACACAGACGTCCGGAAACAACAGATTTTCATTGTTCTACCAGTCTACACAATGAACTTAATGCCCAGGAATGTGTTCTTGAAGATTTTGTCAAGTATGGCATTATCTCCTGTTTGACTATAACAGATGGTATCGTCGACGGGACGAGTTCCGCGTTTTGGTTTGCATATCACGAAACTTACCAGCTTCAGGTTTTAAATATTTGCGTCTGTGAGTAACCTGGAAGTTAGCATTCAGATTGCAGGCTTTTAACTGGCTCGGAGGCTTTCCTCTTGGATGTAAACTGTGTCCTGTAAAAGAACTTCAAAAGCTGAATAAGATGTCCCCGTTTCACTGTTTTCCCCTTGTAATATTGGCTCTCGAACACCTTCCTGACCGTTTAAGCTGTAGATTCGTGCGAGATTAATGCGCAACAAGAAGTGACAATAAACGATAAACTGGCCTCGTCTTCGCTTGCTTAAGTATTCTTACGTTGTTCCAGGAAACGAGAAACTGACCTAACAGCTGTACATTAGTCCAATGTGAAAACTCTTGGGCGTTAGGACAGCAGGTCGAGCGTGGCTGTGTTCGAGATGGTTAATTAATCGGATTGGAATACAGTGGCATTCCCCATTTTGGGCAGTCCTTAGAACTTCCCGTGGCTGTTTTTGATGTCCTAACGGCTAGCTTTGTCATTGAGGAGGATGAGGATGAAAAAAGTTTCATCTGACTACCGATGCGCCAACGCAAGCCTCCCCCTTAGATGTTGCCGGGCGGGGGGTGTGCGAACTTCATCTCCAACAAAAGAAGACTGTCTACTTTGAAGCTTTAGGACAGTGCAAACACGGTTGCGAGATCACTTCTGCTTCTCCTCCTCCTGTCCGTGGTTCTTCATCCTTGGCAGGCGCAGATGTCCCCCACGAGGCGGGTGCAGCTGTGACCGCGCGTGACGTTTACAGTGGTGCAGACTTCTGCTACATTCACCTCACTCCCTCGGAGCAGCCCAAGTTGGACTCAGATGCAGTGACTGACAACATCAAGCGGCCGGTCCGCACGTGCTGCACGCTACCAGCGGCCACTGAATATTAGTAGGCACTCGGACCTCACGCAAGACAATATATTAGAATGGGTTTATGCAGTCTGACCCCAGTCCTGTAATATCCTTTTAGGTTGGTAATCTTCCAGGTCACGACTTTTAGCGCGCTGCGGCCACTTTATAGTACGTTTAGTCGTTCGTACTGATGACCTGAGAGGTGGACTGACAACATTCTCCCTTTCGTCTCTCACACAATAGCAGCCTTTACAAGTAAATACAACTGGTAGTGAGGTTGAGTGCAGTTAGCATGGCCTGGCGTCTCTAATTAACGCTTAACCTTAACGGTCGGGAATAGGGCAAAAGAAAAGAGTATCATTGAGGCTTGGAGAAGGAGATACGATCGCTGGGACAAGAGGTTTATTAGCCTGACGTTTCAGATTCCTGCTCGAGTTCATCATCAGGACAAAAACAAATACGACTCTGAGTTCGAGCAGGAATCCGAAACGTCAGGCTAATAAGGCTCTTGTCCCAACGATCGTGTCTCCTTCAAGACTACTTCCTGGAACTCGTCTCTTCGCTTATATTGGCAGTATCATTAAGGCTCTATTAAGGATTAATCTCAGCCTGATCATTGTTCCAAAGGAGGACCGGATATGCCGCCGGCTGGCAGTCGTCCAAATCACGACTGTGATCGCATTATGATGGGTTCTGGCACGTCAGATGCAATATAGTCGAACTGCGCCGATTTTCCAACAGCAGTTGTTACTGAGCGGTCTAAATATTGCTGTGGCAAGAAGTTAGGAAAGCAGTCCTCATAGATATCCTAACACAAAGTTCTACTGTCTAGGCATTCCGTTAGTGGGAATTACTGACGGATAATATTCTTGAGGGTACTGTCGTAGTCTTATATCCTCGACAGTTTGATCGTCCCAAATAACGGCGTCCGCCACTGATCATTCATAGTGGGCGTAGCATCGATGACTTTATGTGAATTGGCTTACAGTGAATCAGGCGCACGCAACATCTACCACACTGCCTCTTTCGACATCAACTTTGCTCCGAGGACAGGATAGCGTCAAGATGACCAAAGGCGGTTTCGCTCACTCACTGACAAAGTTAGGCAGTCTATTTACCTGCGCCACACACTGCCTGGTTTTCACTGCTTGTACCATGTCTCCGTAGGGATGACTCGGATTTCACTGGCGCGAACGATATCGACGTGATCTTCGCCGCTCGCCAAAGAGAAAAGTGATAGGAAATGCGGAGCCACCTCTACTCTACCTTTGTAGATCTGGCGAAAGCTGTCGACCCGGTGAGTCGTGATGGACTGTGGAAAATCCTGCAGAAATCCGGCCCTCCCGATCGATTCACTCAGAGGGTGCGTCAGCTCCACGATGGCACGACGGTGCGCGTCACGGACAATGGAGCTATCTCAGAGGCTTTCACAGTGACCAACGGAGTGAAGCAGGGCTCGCATCCCCGCATGTATTCATGTTTGCGAAGTATGTCAATATGTGTAGGCTAAGGATGCATGTGTGGACAGGTGGAACGATACGTTACGATGGGGCGTTGGCTGCGGTGTTCTACAGCAGACTTTCGTCGAATAGTCACACACTAGGTCTGAATGTCCTGAGCCAGTATGGGCAGGTGTGTGACAAGTGCATGTCGGAACTCCCGACATTGACTCGCCGGTCTCATTGAGCCGGTTTCTCGAGTGACCGATAAGGTCAATGTATGACGTGGACGTGTGGTCATAATTGTAATAAGTTGGGATTGAGCCCGCATTGCTGATAGAAGGGGCGATGGCAGCGGTGGCTGACAGGGCTGCTGGAGTGTACTAAATAGTAGTGGGATGGCGGTTGTGGAGTTTTCTGAGACGAGGGGTGGGTTTCGGGTGTTGACACTGCAGTGGGTCCGGAGATGTTCAGGAGGGCCAATCCGTGCCCGAAATATTCATTGTTTGCCTCAATATCATTGCAAAGTTTGGGAGCTTGAGTCGTTAGCCCACGACACACGAGTCTTGCGAGCCGTTCGTTTAGCTTTTGCTGCAGCTCTCGGGCTAGCTCCAAAAATGACTGCGCCAGCCTTCCCGGCTGTTTGCCAGATCAGCGAATCTTCAGCGAGGCCCTCCCAGGTCTCCGAGATCATTTGCAGGATGTGCTTGTAGCAGCAAATTTGTCCGTCTCATTTGCAAGCACTCGTATCGATGTCAACTTGAAGTGGTCTCTCGGCATCATCGTCATCCATCCTCACTACGTGGCCGCTCCATCTCAGTTGTATCTGCCTTAGTATAGCGTGGGCGGTCCTGTTTCTCTCATGTATTTCCGCGTCAGGGATTCTGTCTTGCCATCTACTTTCCAGTATCGTGTGCAGGCAGGTGGAGTAGGAATGGGTCAGTTTCCATGCTTAACTTCCGTATACTCTCCAAGTCTCCGATCCACGCAGGACCGTTGTCAGGATGACGCCTGGATGCATTCTCAATTTCATGTTCAAGTGAAGGCCGCAGAGGTTCAAATTTGAGTTCAGCAGTCGACCGAGGACCTAACTGACATTGGAAATCTGACTTCCAATTTGTTTATCGATTTTATAGTTTCTTCAATCTGTAGTTTTAGGTGGACGTATTTTTTCCACAGGGGAGGCGTGTTTCAGTTATGCTTATCATGGGCATGTTGCACCCATCAGTTAGTGCTGGTTAGTACATCATCGTCTTCACTGTGTTGGTGGACAGTCGAAGGTTGGCGCAGCTGGAGGAAACAAGGTTCATGCTCCACAGTATGTATCTTTTCGTCGTGGTATTGAGCGTAAAATCATCCCGTAGAGGATATCATGAACGCCTACTTTGGGTAATCGTCCTGACGCCTACGGGCGCTGGACATTAAGCAACTGTCTGACATTTCTGCAAGTGCTTCTGCTTCGCGATCACTCCTCACAGCAGGCTTCCATCAGCATGGCGGATAACGTGCGACTGTTGAGAATGGGGACGAGTACAAAACCCTCTTTCACTCTTTTGGTCATTGCAAATACCATGAAGACCTCCCCCCCCCATTACCCTTGACGCCAGCCATCATTTCGATGTAGAATTGTGGTGCCGTCTGTGTAAACGCCTCTATTGTTGGAATTTTAGCATAATTCTCCCGATTTCGTCGTGGTTTACTATACCAAAGGACCTTGTTACATCCATGAAGGTTGCGTACAGTCTGGTCCTCATTTTTTCAGCCTCTCATACAGCTAGCGAGCTGCGACAGTAGCATTGATGGTTTCGTGATTTCTTTGAAATCCTCGTTAACTTCCAGAGACAAGTCTTTTCTCCAAGTGGCGGTCCCGGCGATTGAGTAGGACATTAACGAAAATACTTCCTGCAATATTTAGAGTGGAAATGTCTCTGTGGCTATCCCAGATTTTCTGGTTCTTTAGAGTTTGTGGATGTGCACGATGGTACCAGCCTTACAGTTTTGAGCGATGTGTGCCATTAGCCATATCTGCTGAAACAGCAAAACAAGCCTTTCCATGAAGTATGGTCCTAATTACTTGTAAACTTCGGCCTGAATTACGTCGGAATACAATGCCTCCCCACTGGAGAACCGTTGCGGTGCTCTTACTGCCTTTAGGAGGGAAGAAGAACAAAAGGAGGGGGTCTGTCGATGGTGTCATCGGTGATTGTGGATGGCCAATTAAGGGCGCCTCTGAAGCGCTCCGTCTAGCGCCCCAAAATCTGTGAGTTTCCTGTTAGGAGTGTTGTTCCATCAGAATTGAACAACTACGTATCCCCATTGATGTGGGGACCATAGATAATCTTCCTGGACACGAAGAATTCCTTCATTTCATTGCATTCTAATTACCACGGCATTTTTTGACCTTGCGAGTCACTCAGGCCCGTTGCGTCTTCCTTAGTCGCTGCAGTACCAGACTGGACTGAGGAAGAAAGCCCATTTGTTCACCTCAACTCTGTGCTAGACTTAGGTCGTATTCAGCCTTCTCTTCTGGGCTAGCAAATTGGAGATTTCATTTTCGCCTTCGTCGGGCGAGTTCCGATGCTGACGTCTTGCGTAAACAAGGATGTCCAGAGCAGTTTGGTGAAAGATTTTCCACAGTTTTCTCCATTGCGCCTTTACAGTGCGTTAGTTTCGGTTGCTTGCATGTTTTAGGCGGATAATCAGACGAGTACAAAACTCTGAAGGGCAGTCGATCATATCTAATAGTATAGCACCCAACTTACTTGCTGCATGTATAGTTTGTTGTCACCTGCGGGGTCATAGTTGCAACATCATCTTGGAGATGACAAGACGGTGGTCTGTCCATCAGTCGGAGGCACACATCGCCCCTGTCACTAGTACATCAAGCCCTTCAACAAAAATGTTATCTAGTCCGATATTTGTCGCAAAGGGCTAGAAAAATCTGTTCGACAGATAACGTTGACGGGTAACTTCGAAGAATGCAGGACCTGCTTCGCGAGAACGGGTATCCTGACCAATTTATTGTAAGGGATCTTGCCGAACAACCGGCAAAACTCATCATACTGACGCGGAAAAGGAAAGTCTGTTTCTCAAAGTCCCCTTTCAAGGGGACGCAGAGAGTGAACCCCTTAGAAGGCACCTTGACCAGTCCGTTTCACGGAACTTCCCAGCAGCAAGGGTTCAAGTATTTTTTCAACCAGCCCCGTCCTACGCGGGAAAGGTAAGGATAGGCTACCTACTCAGACCGCCTCCATGTGCATTTACTCCTTTACTTGTTCCTGTGGAGCAGGCTATATTGGTCGTACGAGTCGACACCTATCCACAAGAATACGAGAACACCTGCCGGCATGGTTGAGGGAAGGTGAACTTAAGAGCATGCGCGACAGTTCGACCGTCGTTGCCAACGTCCACCGTGTGATCCACAGCAAGGCAGAGCAGGGGCTGTGACTTGCGCGTGAATTAGTTTATAGTGATAATAGACTTTCGCAGTATCTACAGCACTTCCTCCTCCTCTCCCACCGAGGGCCGGTGTCAAGACAGAGTCAAGAAGGCCGGAGGCGGGGGAGGGGGTAGGTGGGTGGCACGGTCGAGCCCGCACTTTGACGCACCACTCCACACCTCCTGGTCCGCACAACAAAAGACCAGGTTTTTAACCCAACAGGGGGAGACTGTGCTCCCAGTGTGCGTGACGCATGCCGACAACCGGGTCTGCCACCGCACCCGAAATGTTGACATTTGTTACGGTGCGCAAATCCGATAACGCCTACTAGAATCAGATATGGCCCCAGTGGTAGTCCAGCGTATCTACCACGTGGCCCGTTTGGGGGGGGCACTAACGGCATTCACAGCTCCATCCTCGTACACATGGCTGATTCTGGGCATCGTGTGGATCCCAACGAAGCCTTCCATGGGATTTACAAGGTTTCACCTAACTAACGTAAGCGACGGGGTCAGCGCCTCTTAGCAACAGCAGAAGCGACTGCCATCAGGCTACAGAGGCCGGTCCTGTGCGCGCAGAAGAACCTCTCCCACGCTCCGCGTCTGCCGTGGGCAAGGATCGATTAACTGTATGCTTGTCTCCGCACCCCCCTCTCCTCTTCTCCCCCTTGTGACACGGCTCTATCGAACCCTCACTGCCACTTACTGCCTCCTCTCCCCTCCCTTCCCCCCTCTATTCACATACCCCGTTTGTATGAAAAGACGAAGCTTAATCGATTGCTCTTACTGCTCACGCGTTTCAGTTTGTACTTCGTTTCCGTATAAATGTATAGGCCCGATGGGAATTTATCTAAAACGCCCGTATGCTCGCCAAGTGCTCTTCTAAAAATTTTGACGCTGAATGGGGCTGCTTAGCCACGCAAGGCGGCCGCCGTATTCCACAATGCGTTGCAACTTTTGTTTGATTAAAAAACGACCTAATTAACTTGGGCGACATACAGGGTCGCTGTCACTCACTCTAGAAAACTTTTGTATTTTCGGGAGAAGGAAACGATGGAACAGAGGGCAGAACTACCGGAGGTGTGGATACGCACACAACGGATATCCTACTTTGGTACTGCTTTCCGGTGAAGGCGATTATCGGGTGCGGCCGCTGAGCAGAGAAATAAAGGTCTGTGCAGAGTCATCACTATATGAATTGACAAGATCTCGTGGCCTTTACTATAAATCTTGCGGCTAGCTCCTAAACTTCCGTAGATTTACGGGCTAAGCCGAAGGTCATATACGACTTACATAAACAGTTGCAAAGTCAGTTGGCAAACAGGTCTTCACTAACTCGTCATTAGGCCAATACATTTACATGGATAATGGTCTTTTTAATTGTCCACAGGATATAAATGTGTCTCAGAAGGCAGGGTTAATCAGACTCCATGTTCATACGCCGCCCGCGTGACGGATTTGGTGTTTTGAGGACGATAGAGTTGGGGTGGGAGGGGGCAGGAGGGAGGGGTTCGGGTTCGAATGTAAACGCTGTAAGTACGTGCGAGTGCTCTCAGGGCGTCGGAACGGCATGCGATTACAGCCTGAAGTCGGCCAGGGCAAACAGGCTGCTTGTGTCAACGTCTCCTGAAAACAGAGTGCTGGGTTCGCTGGTCGAATGGCCGTGCTTAGGCTGTGGCTAACACCCGTTTGCGCAGGCCTGTAGAGTAGTGTGCCAGTGCACGGTAGATAACTTTAAAGGCTTCTTTAGCGTCGGCTTGGTGGTTCGTATCGAATTGAACTTGAAATCGACTGATTTTCACCTCAACCTAGCCAGGCAGGCATGTGTTCGCGTTTCCTCTTTTCCAGACGCCTCGTTGTACGGCCAGTATATCCCGCTCTACAGGAGCAGGTGAATGAATAAATACACATGGATGTTGCCTGTAACGGCAGTCGGTCTTTGCCCCAACCGTTGTAGGGGGAGTTTGCGAATACGCGCAAATTTGCCGCGGGGAAGGCACTCGTGAGAGCTGTCATAAGACGTCGTCTCACGAATTTGCTTGTCGCGTCTCCTGGAAATGGCAGTCTTAAAAATAAGTCTTCCTTCTCTGCAGTTGGAATGGCAAGCTTTCTTAGCGCGCTCCTCAATATTCCGGGGATGAATCTCTCTGGATAGCCGTTTTCGCGGAGCGTGTTTTGCAGCTCCTGGAGTTCGCCTCAACAGTTTCAGGAGAGCAGATGGCCTGCACTCTAGCCGCCAGTGCCTTGACTAAACTTCGTTTTAGATTTAGGGGAACAAAACTGTGAAAATTAATGTACTGTCCCGTCCAGGTTTTTTTCTGAATATCTTGCGTTGGATAAACCCATCCTCTTGTCTGTGTAGGACATCGATGAACGCGATTTCACTATTCACCTCATTCTCTGCGGCAAACTTCAGGGAGGGGTGCGCCCTGTTAAACTCCTGAACTAGGCCGTTGATGTCGGTGGTATGACTTGTTAGGCAAAAGATATCGTCCATATATCAACGGTAGAAGTCAAAGTCATTAATGGCATCTTTGAGAATCGTTTGCTCGACCTTGTCCACGAAGACATTTGCGAGAAACGGTCAAAGCGGCGAACCAATTGCCACACTGTCTATTTGCCTGTATGGCGGCCGTTGCAGAGGAACTGGACATTCTGTGTGCATCGCATAAGTAGGTCTTTTAGGGTCTCCACTGTCATGCCTATCGGGTAGTTTGTTTCCCTGATGAAGTGGTCCAGGAAGTCTATTGTCTCCACTACGGGTACGTTGGTGAACTGTGATGATACATCTAACGAGCGCATCGTCCGTCCGCCAAGGTTAATGTTCTTGATAGCCTCGACAAACTCAAAGGCGTCTTCCAAACATCGTGGATACAAACTACTTTGATATAGTTTTAACTTTTCCACCAGCCATTTTGCTATGGCGTGATAGGGTGAATTTCTCATATCCAAGATTGGACGTAGTGGTAGCCCGTGTTTGTGGATTTTGGGAAGACCGTGCATTCTGGATATCGTCGTACGCACAGGTTTTAGTCCTTCAACCTCCTTTTCAGACAGAAGCCCTTCTTTGTGGAGATCTTTGAGCACTTTCGTCAACTGACTCCCGATGGTCTCGGTCCGATCTCGGTCTTTCTCGGGTTTGGAGAACTTTGTAACTTCCGATAAGACTTCTTCTAATCTTTCCACGTAATCCATCTTATCCATGACAACTAATTCTGAACCCTTGTCCGGTCTGGATTGTACTTATTCAGGGAAACTACTCATTGCGGCCAGCAGCAAATATAACCAAGAGTTTGGTGTTGACGGTAATTATTGGTTTCTGGTTTAAATACGTTTGACGTTATCTGTTGACTCGAAATATTGCTCATTGGAACTGGGCTCCCTCAAAGCACCCATCAGTTTTAAGCCCATAAGGTGAGAGCGATAGATATGCTCAAGCTCCGTTTGACGTTTGCTAATGATTGGCTTTATGAATCAACACGAGCAGACGCTCCCTTATGGATTTGCTTTTATTCTCGACTGGCTCCTCTTTTCAGCCTGGGTTTCAGTAACACTGACAAATTTGATTGGAGTGTACATTCTGTAAAGGATTTATTAGCGCTCAGCTTCAGGACAGGATGCGATAGGGAGTACGAGATACAAATATCATTCAGAGAGCATTTGCTCTTTCTTCAAGACATCTTGAGGTTCCAACGAAAACTTCCACGCTAGTTATTTAGTGCAAAACTCATTTCACAACTAACTTTTGCACTTCCTTGTCTGAGACACGTAAAAAAACTTTAAACCATTCAAGCACAAAGGTGGTAAAATTATTTTCCGGTCGAGACTAGGCTGCCTGTTACTGCGCTGACAGGGTTTTTTGTTGTCCGCGGAAACCATAAAATCTTACCAATAGTTTTCTTCTTCGTATGTATACGCTGCACCTTCTCGCAACGAACGCAGGAAATTTATCTGCTCTGCAAGTATCGATGTCCACTTCTGCACTGAAATCCAGCGACATTATTTTACAGCTTCATATTTTCCCCAGATTGTGAAAATCGCCTTGAATAACTTCTACTTTCCTCAACAAGAGTGATCGCGCGACTACTTATTTGGGCCTTCTTTATGTTTAGTCTGTTAGACTATATTATACAGAACTGTGAAATTGAACACTATCTTGAAAAAGTCATAAGTCATTTCAATTCACCTCGTAATCCAAAAAACCGGCAACTCACCCAATAATTTGCTGACTTGATGCATTCCTGGTAGTGTGTTCCCTCTGACCCTAAATCATGCAGCCCAAAAACTCTCAGACTCCCAGAAAGATTGATTTTGTTTAAGCTCGTTTTAAAAGCCACCACCTATATCAGACGGCTTCTGTCAAACTTAAAGAGCAACAGTGAATATTGTACGATCACCTTGTATAAAAGGTCGACATTCCGGTTGTCTCCTATTTCCACGGATGGGTAGTTTCTTTTAATCCAATCATATCTTGGGGGAAAAAAGTTGATATTTTTGCTGAATTATTCTTTAAGATAAATTTACTTCAGTCTTGGGTAAGTAGGCAAAGTGTACTTTAGTGTACTTGGCTTTATATCTTCTTACTTCTGTAAATAAAGCTAATAATTATAAGCCCCGTCTTCATTGGCAGCTAACCATTGAAACTAGGAAAAATAAAATAGGAGACATATGTTTATTCTTAACTGGAAAATTTCCACCAATCCAGTCTTTCTCTGACTCTTGTTTCCATTTAAAGGTCTTAGGGCTTGGCAACCTGTCGACAAACCAGCCCTCAAAATCAACATTAATTTTGAGTTGAATTAGATGTCTGAACTACTATTAAGGGATCTGACCAACAATTTAAATCAAGACCCATTGTTCTTGTTTATTCTGGGCTATGAATGTAAAATTAGAATGTGCCTTGTTGTGGATATAAACTTCAGTGGTGAGATAGTTTTTTCGATAAACCACTGTAATCGCAAATAGCTAAACATGAGTTGGTTTGCGATCTAAACTGTCCTAGAGTAAGGCAGTATCTTCCCTTATCAGATGATTTTGTAAATCAGACACGTCCATCAATCGAGCTCGCATTGGGGATGGAAACAGTTGGCTCGCTCCCTTTCTTAGATGTCCTTTTAAACAGAAGACCTGACGGTAACGTCCGAAGCAGCATCTATCGGAAGAAAACGTGGTCTGAATAATATACGAACTTCGACAGTTTCGTGCCCATACAACAAAAACGAAATCTAGTCCAGTGTTTGGTGCAATGGACCAGAAACATTCATTCAGTAGACTGCATCGGGGAGGAGATTGGAAATATCCAGCACTTACTTCGCCGTAACGGGTATCCTGGCAGGTTTATTGCAAAGAACAAGGTCGAGCGACTGGACAAACCCACCACAGTTACTGCCGAAAAACTCTGTCCCTCGATGTCCCTTTTCAAGGGGACGCATCTAAAGGACTCCTAAGAAGATGCCCTGATCAAGTTGTCTCACGAGCCTTCCAATCAGAAAGGCCCTAAATATTATTCTCTACTAACCCTATCTTACGGTGAGAAAGTAAAGTGAAGTTACCATCTCAGATCGTCCAAATGCGCATTTGCTCCTGCATTTACCCCTATGGAGTAGGTGATATTGGATGCACGAGTCGACGTCTATCCAAAAGAATACAAGAACACCTTCCGGCATGGTTGAGCAAAAGTGAAATTAGAAGCACAAGCAGCACCATTCTCGCACATGTTGTTGATCCCGGATATCATATGGGACCCGACAAAGTTTTTCGTGTGATTTATGAGGTCCCATCGAGCTACCCTCAGCTGATAGGCCAGCATATGTTGCCAACAGTAGAAACGACCGCTACCAGGTTACGAAAAGTTATTTTGTGTGCACAAAAGAACATCGTCCAGGCCACACCCCACAATCTTACGCTCCCAACGCCAGCCGCCCATATTTCCACCACCCGCCTGTGTTTTATGAGGGGCTTTTATCGATTTCTCTCATTACTGATATGTTCTACTCGACCCCATTCCCATATAAATGCGCTGGCCTGAGGAGAACTAATCGAAAATACGCACATGCCCGCCAGATAGTCTTCTGTACACTGTCACGTGAATTTTCGCACGTCCATCAGATAATCCTTTGTACTTATAAGTAATCAGTAAAACGTTTATCCGTTAAAATAAGGCAGCATGCATTCTGGTCTCATGACTCGGTATGATAATTGTGCCTAGTCTCTGGTCATGCAAGCCGTTGTAATTGGCTTATTCCAACATATGCTGAGAGTAATTAGAAGGAACCAAAAGCCAATTGGCTACCCCTCGTGGTCCGCGTCCAGACTCACTTTGTACGCTACGTCCCATCGCCTCGGGAACTATAACTTGGAAACACGAATAAGAAGCTCATCCACAGAAAAAGGTAAAGCTGCTATTTTTTCGCACATGAAGATACACTTCCACCATAACCACCATTTTCCTTGTCACCATGTTTACCATAATCATTATTTAAAGCAGAGTGAACGTTTGAATTTTTTATCGCCTTGGTAGGTCCCGCTGCTTGTGAATTAGTACGGATTATGGATTTTATATGCTTTTCGAAATGCTTGAGGAAATAATTCGCGTATCTGTCCTGGGTCGTCCCTAGTATAGTAATTAAGCGATGGAGTTGCAACCGATCATTTTGCCTATCATTGGTTTAACAGTCAACTACGACTTCGCAATTCTTACCCTTGCTATATATACCCGCTAATCTACGTACCGGGGTTTTACTATAACCAGATTTTCAAAACTGCATGTTTCCATTTATTACAAGACACACAGAAAGTTATTGGATGGTTCACGAAAAGTCACCAACAGCTACTCTTTTTTTAATGCCGACTTTGATAAAATGCTAAACATTTTGAATAACATATCCTGATAATCCCAACCGCGTAATCGTTTCGTTATGATGTTTTAGACTGTAATTTTGGTGTTTACCTTCCTCCCTGAACCCGAGATATTGCATAATTATCTGATTCCTCTATCTTTTGACTCATTATTTCACTAGACACATAAATGTACAGGTCTAAAGAGGATTTATCGAAGCAGGCGTATGCTCGCCAAATTGTTTTTTGAGTTTCTAGAAAAATTTCAAAATAAAAAATATACCAGCAAGTTTACGGGAAGTTGGAAAGACCTAGTGGCCGTGTGCTATAAGACTAAACACACCGACTGACCTTCTCACTGACCGCTCTTTGAATTCCCCTTCCTTCTATTTTATAGTAAATATCTGAACTCAGAAAATTCGTTATTTATTACCCAGTGGAAAGTGGTCGTTTCTTCTGACTGATATTTTGACATGCTTGTCATGAATGCATTTTTCATGTTTAAGAGTCCGTTTTGGCGGTCCGTTCAAAAGACTGGGACTGTAAAATGCTCGTTCTACATGAACTCTCACCGTAAGTGAAGCCAAATTAATGATGCAGGTTCCATTGGAAGTCCGAACTGCATACAAATCGAGGTTAGCGCACTTAACTTAAAGCTCATCCCGAAGGAAGTATGGATTGGTAGCAATATATTCCAAACATCTTTATAAAATAACAAATTGCATCATAAATTTGTTAATAAAGCCCAAATTTTACAGTTTTTAAGCCGACGGTTATATGCTTGCTTGTGGTACAACCGGGTTTTTGTATAAAAGAAAAACAACTTTTGGGTCGCATTATCTTGTTTCATGATTTATTCCAGCTAGCTCAAAATGCCATATACGATATTACGGTGTGAAGGGACTGGGGATTTTGTCCCACTTGACAGTTCAATCGCTTCAAACCTTTTCTGTTAGGTTTCTTTACCGAACTTATCTTGCTTTATGAATGCAGGCTTGACTGCAGCTCACATTTCACGTACTTTTTCAGTGTTGCTCAGAATGTCTCTCTTTGCAATTTTTTAAAGTTTCGAGTGCACTCGCTCAATTAGTCGTGATGTGAATCGAAGTCAAATTTTATGCCGTTTACGTAAAATATACTGCTTACCGCCATGACATGGATGTAGTCTGCGAAGCACTTGCTTTTTTGCTTAATAAATCTTTTACTGCCTTCTAAACGTCCCAGTGTCAGAGGAACCACCTTTCCTGTCTTCATTTAGTGAAAATATAGTCGACGTAGTGCGTGAAAGTAGGCCTGTAACCGCTGATATAACCTAAAGGCGGTTGAGTCTACTGTTAAAGGTATTATTTTTAGGTAACGTATTTTTTGGGTGCCATCTCCCGATTGTTACCAAAATATATTAGCTGGGTGTTTTAGCTGATTTGAATGATTCATGTGACCCATTTGTGAAAAACTCGGCGGCTATGGTGGTATTCAACCCCACGACAACAAGTGCAGAGACGCAGAATGTAAACAAACTCATGGCTCGATGGGGATTTCATAGTTCGCGTGGTTATTTCTGGCTGTACTCAAGCCTTCCCCTTGTTGTCGGTGGTTGAAATCCCACCAAGGTCGCCGAGTTTTTCCCGGTCAGGTCAAAATACATTATTTAAAGTCTGTAAGAGCACCCATTAAATACTACTTTGTCAACACGGTCAAGCTGATTTATTACTTGAAAACTTTTGAATTAATACCAGCTTATCGATAATCACTCTAATTGATGGATTTGTCAAGATGGATGTCACAGATATTAGTGGATGTTGTTGTGAACTGCTTAACTCATATTGACCCAACAGTGAAAATCTCGGCGCCTCGGTGGGATTCGAACCCACGCAGTAAGGGGCAGGACTTAGTACAGCCAACGCTCTAACCGCTTGATCTACGAGGCCCCGCCGGACAGTTGGTTCAATATGAATTATTCAAAATCTGCCAAAAAATCTATGAATTACGTAAGCCTGGTAGTCATCTGGCGGATATTAGGTGAATTACTTAGGAAATTCTGCCTGTACAGTCAACGTACTGCATCAGATTTGGTGGATTCCAGACGTTGCAGTAGGTTGGGAGGGTAACTTGACCCAAATGTGATTAAACTCGCGTCGTCCGGCGAGGCTTCGTAGCTCAAGTGGTTAGGGCGTTGACTGTACTAGAGCCTTCCCCTTTCTGCGTGGGTTCGAATCCCCCCGAGGCGCCGAGTTTTTCACAGTTGGGTCAATATGAATTATTCAAAATCTGCCAAAAAAATCTATGAACAAGTTAATTCTATTTTTCCTCCTTTAGCGCTATAGCGGACATAATTAACTGATTAAGCTAATCTGCGCGCGTCTGACAGACATGACTTGGGGAATAACTTAACACCCACAGACTCTTGTGGTTAGTAGGGCACGGAATAGGAATCCCCCGTAATACAGATGGTTCTGTCCTAGTTCCCTGGAAAATTAGGGTTGGGGTTAGAGGTAAGGTAGGATTATGGCCTAATTCATGGTTGAATTTAGGGTTAGGATTACGTTCACGGTTAGGATGAAGATTTGGGTTACGGCTACGGTAAGGATACGGGAATAGGTACCCTTTCTAGGTGTAAGCGCAAGGGGGGTTCCTATTCCCCTGTCTTGCCCAATAGATTTACAGGCACGTAATTTACTGCTTTCAGTGGACTAAGCTGGTTGGGTCAAACATATCGGCCTGACCGAAAATACTCTGCCCTCTTATTTGGCAGAACAAGTTTTAATAAATGCACCCCAATCATTTGCATCCTTCCAAACTACACAGACACACAGCCGCAGTTTTCTAATTTTTTGTCTCTTTTAAGGATTATCTTTGTCATCATGCTTCACCTGGACTTTCGAGACACCCATGGTACCAACAGCTGGCCTCAAACAGGTTTGGAGAGCAGGACTAGTAAAAACGACGAACGGTCACAGATATGTGGCCTTGAAGATGTCACTCAACAGCCACCAGTGTGGGCCACCTACGCATGGAAGGAGCCAACGCTAAGTAGCCACTGGAATGAAACCGCTTCGTACCGGGTGTCTACTAACTCCCAGTCTACAGAGCGTTTGGAGGACATCTGCAGCGGCTATGCAGGCACCTTTGAGTCGGCTGGCCAGCTGACTACGGCATCCATGCAGCAAAAGGGTTGCCTTCAACTATGGCGCTTTTTAATTGCAATGCTGGATGACCCAAACAGTCAGCACCTCATCTGTTGGACGGGTAGGAAGTTGGAATTCAAGTTGAATGAGCCGGAAGAGGTATTACCTTTGTCTTTACATCCTATCTCAGTCTTCTTTCCACTACCGTTTTAATTTGTCAGACATTGCCTTCTTTCTTCCCCATGTCGAAAGCACCCAACAAGAGTCGGTTTCTGCAGAATAGAAAGCACAGAGGATACAGGTAGGGCTGGCTGGAAAACTAGATAAAATCAATTAAGTCACGTCACCCTACCTTAATGCGCTAAAAGTTTATATCACGCAGTTCGCATGCCTGGTTTATTCATTTAATTTTGTAATTTTATCTGTACGTTATACTCTAGACTAAGCATAAAGTGTTGGAGTGAACATGCTGAGTGTAGTTGGCAATAAGTATTTTTGGCAGATTTACATAATTCCTCGGACTCATTTGCAAAAACCTTGATGCGATGGAACGCCCAGCAGCAAGTACTAGACTTGTGTATACCCAGCACTCTAATTACGTAGGCTAAGAGGCCTCACCGGGAGCCGTGTGCTTAACCACATACATTCACCAGTTTTGATACGGTAATTTTACAGCCCAAACAGGACTTCCTAGGTAACCAATCTTATAATCCCTCAGACGACTACTAGACTCGCTTGATAAACAGGTATTTTGCAGATTTTGAATAGTTTTTTTTGACCCGATTGCAAAACCTCGGCGGCCTCGGTGTGATTCGAGCCCACGACAGCGAGTGCGGGATTTTTGTACGTCCGATGCTTTACCCAACTGAGCTACGACAGTACGAACGAAAGCCGTGAGTTTAGTCAAGTATGGGTCATAACATACCCAACTTACTGCAACCTACGGGGACCGCCAGGTCCGTTGGGGCTCCATAGTTCAGATAGTTCATTTTTGGCCGAAAACAAGTCTTTTACTTGCTGTCGTTGGTTAAAATCCGACCGCGGTTTCGGACATTGAGTCAGATGAATGCAGTTGTCCTAAATGCAAAACTAGTATTTACCAGTTGACCCGTAGTACTAACCCACACAGTACACCCATCTTATCATCTCAGTTGGGAGCTGCAAAACCGGAATATCTAGGGTTAGCCATCTTACATTTGTACTACTTACTACTTCGACCTTAAGTCACTACTTATGTTTGTAAGAGGCCAGCAAAATATTCTGTCAGCTAGACATTGCCACACATGGCGACCGTACAAAGATAAAATTACGTCACTGGCTGGTGATACTGAATGAAAAGATGTCCATTTGGGCAAATGGCCATATTAATGTGAATGTGGAATCCACTCTCAACTCGGACGGAGGTAGGCGTTTGATCGATTGACAGCCTTCATCCGGTTCCTTTTTAAAGTTCTCATTCCTTCACAAGCTGTGGCTATTTCAAAAGCAGCAGATGCCGCAAGCTTTAGAAGAAACGCAGACTTCGTTTTCCACGGGGAACAAAGAACGCGAATTTTTCCTCTCGCAGTATATCGATGACACTTAATGCGTGTGGCACTTTAAAGGTTAAAATTCCCAGAACGCGCGCGTACTTCAGTTGTAAAAAAACCTGACGACTGTCATCCTCGGGGTGTTAAACGCGCCGTAGTCGATTTCACCTCTTTAAGAACTCCTGTGACAATTTGCTCTTTCTTGATGTCCTTATAATGTGGAGGTTTATAGGTTGCAGTCCTTCAAGAAAGCCTGTTTGTGAACTACAAGTGAAGTCATATTTCCACACTCGTAAAAAGTTTGAACAAATAAGGCAATAGAACATTTTTCAAAATATATTAGTAAACTGCCTATATCGAGAACACATTGTTAAATAGTTTCGTAGGTCTGGAATATTATGAAGAATCCGATAACACTCTAAAACCCAACAGCAGCAGGAACAATAAGGACTTCGCATATTCTGTCACAAAAGGCAAATCAAATGCGCCGAAATTCCTTCCTCAATATTAACACTTTTTTTCGAATTTATATTCACCGGGATATTTAAATTGAACACCGTTGCCCTCATGTCTGCCCTTCTGTGACGGAGTCCCCTCTGTTGGATGTCATTATAAGGGATATTCTTTCTACTGCTTGCTTACTTTTTGAAATTATACGGTACTAGGCTGTTAGTTTTGACGCTTAAGAACATTTTCAAGTACGAAAGTCTACTTGGGTGGAGATTAATTAGTAATTTTCGTGTAACACACTGTCTACAATCTTAAGGACCACTTGGGTAAATTACGGTAGCTAGAAATTTATAATTTACGTGGCGGGAAATTTTTCCGCTGATGTCTGTTGCCTCCATGAATTTAGTATGTCTCCTAAAATTAATGCTAATTTCGTATGAAATTACGCTTTCTGCAAATTTCATACTTGACTGAAGGTATTCCCTTTAAGGAAATGCAACAATTTCTTTTCTTTTACTCGGGCATTAGGTTTCAAAACTACATGCTGTGAACGTTCATTAAAGCAAGACTCTATTCATGTCACCGAGGAGACGCATGCTGTAACTTCTAAAATGTCGCAAAAGGTGTAGATCCGATTGTGGACCTCAAAAGCAGCATCAATATGCACGCAAATAATCAGCAATATAAACCACGATTTCATCTGGGACAGTTTTAAAGACAAAAATCAGAAGACATTCTTTTTTAAAACACGAGATTTTGAAAGAGCGCACTTTCAACATCATAGATGTAAGAACTAAATGCCTTATGCATTCTTTCCAGGAACTAAGGTTAAATGTTATGAGCATCGAGAAACCGTGAAAAACAACCACGACATTCAAATAGGGATTTTGTTGCGAGTTTGATTTACATAGTTGTTTGAAATTATTCCTTGATGGAAAAGATAATACTGTATTGCATGTTACTTACTACTTTCTTCTTAATTAAATACTACTCTGTCTGAAAACATACGTTAAACTTTCGTCTAATCCCTTATGTGTTTCTAAGCATATGACATCTTCTTGTCGTTCATTTGTTGCGGGCACAACCTTATCGTTAATTGTGAAAGTCCTCAGCATGTCAGAAGTATCACGACCGGTTGGCTGTGAGTTTAAACAAGTCGTGACTATAATGGATGTCTGGATATACATGTTCGGAGCATTGAAGACAGTCTTCCCTCATGAAATCATTTGTTCCAGACTAGAGGAAGGGGTTTATTGTATTCTTAACTCCTTCCGTTTTGAAAATAACCTCCATTAACTAGCAGTTTATTACATATTATGCCGGCACATATTAACAGATGTGTAGTCACTTCCGGACAACCGATGTCTTGGAAAAGAGTGATGCAGCAGCCGCGTTTTAAGTTGTTTTCCCTGACTTTTAAATGCTTAACTAGTCTCAGTAAAGACCTCGACTGAATCGCTTTAGCGAAACCACTTGTTTCACAGGTGGCAAAACTGTTGTTATTAAAAAAAACTCCATTTCTGCTTCAGGGGACCCCTTTTTTACGCCACGTACTCCAAGAAATCGTGTATCTCTTTGCAAATTTACAGCACACAGGGCTCTGTATCCACCGTATTTGTTTTGCAATAACTTTTATAGTGGATTAGTGCCAGTGTTTGGGATAGGACTGAGTTAGAATACGGAAATAAATACCGCCCTTGAAGTTACCTCAATGACACGCGTATCTAGCGGGGCGTTCCTATTCCCGTGGCTTACCTATGAATTTAACGATCACCTCAAAATTCACCTCCGTCTGTACACAGCAACTCTGGGAAAACGGGGAAAAGCTACGTGCAAACATGGCGCCCGCGCTGTGTTCCAAAATACCAGAACGTCAGACGATGGACTATTTAAGACCTGCTGAAATTCGACAGAGTAATTAATGAACCCGTACTAGGGTAGGCTGTCCCACTTTTGCTTCAGCACCGTGGTGAATTTGCTGTTACTATAAACCCCAGAGTGTTTTTACAGCTGAAGTAGGGCCTGGGGTGAGGAGCAGATCCGATACTAAAATTCAGTTCATTACACTGTTAGAGTTGAGTTCATAATGGACAAAAAGGTGAACTCGAAGATCCCCGATACTCCCATTTCTACTATGAACCAAATGAAGTATCCTTTTTACGGTAATGGCTATTTTATGAGCACTTTAAAGCATGTGGATATAAAGCAAATATGTCTTTTTGGCGTTTCGAAGGATAAACCTACTCAACCCCCACGTTGCAAGTTCACAAATCACCGTGGCTTGCAAATAAGCCGACATTATTTACCGAATATGCAATTGTATTTTGCTGTAATAGTGTTATTCTTCTTATACTAGTGCAATTATCGCATTGCTACTTTAGGCCTGTTACTGCGTAAATACCGGTCCGAAAAGCACAAAAGTTTGATTATGGTCAATGGACCGCTCTACTTACAGAAAACATTTGATTTTCCGGAGTCTCCATTCATGTGAGAATCTGCTTTGCCATGATCAACAAACCATGGCCCTCGCATCCTAATGTGCGTCGGCAATTCTCTGGCACCTGGTTCTCTGTCGGTGGGTGCGCTTGCGCTCCCGCTGAGTATACTGGTCGTGAGCATGGCTACCCGGTCATTCCTGTCTTTCTGACCCGTTGTGGTGCTGTTGTTGTTGACCAAAACTCCGGTCAAGTGTTTGTTGTGGACCAGGGGATGTGATGGTACGCCTAGATGCGGATACGGCCGTGCCAGCTGCGCCCTCTCCCGCCTCCTGGCGGGGGCGAGGAGAGGGTGTGGTAGATGCTTCGCAAGTCTGCTATTATTATGAACTAAACCACGGGCAAGTCACTGTGCCTTCACCTTGCCGTGGGGCACATGGTGGACATCATCAGGCACGACGGTCGAATTGTCATTAATTTTTCGAAATAAAAATATATTTGATAAACGCGGCCGACAAAGGTGTCTAGAAATGCGGTCATCTTGTCTATTTATAAACCGTCATCTTCCGATTATTCTCCATGGCATGTCGATTCGTATTTGCTCCCTATTGTGTAACCACCTGAGCTGGCCTAGACTTGAGCCCAATGGCTAAACCGAGTCACTCGTATTGCGTCCAGCGGTCAGGATAGCCCGATGAGATTTAGACGTTTAATTTTGGCTGGTAGTAGTAGTCCCTGTGTATCCATTCAAGTAATCCCGATGTCCAAGGTGTAAACGTAAAAACTTGCCAACTTAACACTTTTTTCGGTCTTAACGTATTTTCAAATAAAGTCATTTCCTTCTCGATTTCGGAAAAATAGTTCCTGCTGCTAAAATCACGGGATTGAAGTGACTGTGCTCTCTGTGCTACCTACATGCCCGGGCTTCAGAGCCCATCTGCCTGAAATGACCTTGAAACAAACTCATGTTTTTTAGCGTTGTTGTGCAACAAAGGGCTTTAGATAAACCCAATTTCATAAATATCATTCCTTAGTCTAGCCTATACTCAGCTCCTCTAATGAGACATCCCGCGACGAAAGTTGGGAAATGAGAACGCTCAACCCAAATTTAAAGCGTTGGAGGGTTGTCCTAACAAGCAACAACCGATGTCCCATCAGGACTCCTGCTTGTATCCTACCCACTCGGTGTTTGAGATTTGTTCGTTACTTTGCTGAAAAAATACTTTGTACACTGTCTCTACAGTCATTCACGGAATACCGTATCATGTGATCTTCCTCTGCAGCCACGAACGGCGATCTTTGTTTTTTCATTTAGTCCTAATATTAACGAACCTGCCCACTGAGTCGACTATTTTTGAAATGACACTTTCACCGAACGTACTGGTAAAGCTAGAAAAGAATGTTTTGATGCTGTCTGCGGTTTAACCGACTCACATTTGATGCTTTTGGAGCGGGCAACAACAGTTGTGTAGTCCATACTGCCAACTTTAGACAGCAAAGGGTTTGCTTCGACTTGATGTACTTCAGGTGTCCATGGTAAAGAAAATTGCTGGAGCCCAATATCAAACTCTTGTGTGTTAACTGAGTATGGGACTTATCCATGTCCTAAGACGGATTATTTCGAGAATTCAAAATTGTTCCTTTTTTATGTTTTAAGGTAGCACGTCTATGGGGCATCCAAAAGAACCGTCCAACTATGAACTATGACAAACTCAGCCGTTCGCTTCGATACTACTATGAAAAGGGCATTATTCAGAAGGTTTCAGGAGAACGATATGTTTATCGTTTCGCCTACGAACCGGAAATTCTTCCTCGGTTTTCTCTGGCTATCGAGGATAGTCATTCTACGAGTAGCAGTCCCACCACTTGGGAAACCAGCGTCTTGGATCCCGACGCCGCTGCCACGCAGCGAATACCTCTACATCGTTGTTGTGATTCTGCACACTCCTCTGTTGTCCCTGAACCCCGTTGGCTGACTGGCCCCTATTATGTGCGCACCAACCCACCTGACGCCGCTAACCTACAATCGCAGTACCGACCTCCGAACTGCCAATACACCTACCAGCTTCCCCAACCAAGTGACGAACCGCTGAAACTTGACGTAACTCCAACCGACCATACGTCGCCTGTTACAACGGCCGACTTTTTCGACATATCAGAGGTACCTACGTCCTCTAGCGTTACTTCCCTCCGTTCGGGGGTCACCATAACTGACACTTCGTCCAGTACCTTCTGTTTTACTCCGAAGCAACAGCTCTACGAAAGCTATGGAGCGGATGAAGGGGAGGGAGATGTCTCTCGGACACAGGTCTCCACTCTCTACCCACACATACATTCCCAGCAGCAAGAGACTTGTGGTGTTGTAAAGGACGACACCGGCGGCACCTCAGAGGTCTACCGCATGGAGGATGTTTTCGATCCAGCCAACAGTGATTCAGGTGCATGTCGTACGCTCTACACACCTATTTACATAGCTCCAGAGGTACACAGCGCCTTCTCACCCGCGCTTACTTACGACTGTACCGATTGCCAGCCCACTAATACTACTCCCGCAGCTGACTATCATCTCTAGGATTTCAAACTCTTAATAGTCACCTCGAAATTTTTTAATCTACGAATCTTTGAGAGAACCCTACTATAAACAGCCCATTTAACCAAATGTAACCCGCACTTCGAAACCAGGGATGAGGCGCTCGCGGTCCTCCGCCCTATCATCTTAATTGTCCTAGCATTTAATCATGTCTATTTAAAAGTTCACGTTCCGTTCTCATTGTTCTTTTTTGTTTTAAAAACTCGAACATAATCATGTGGACTTGTCTGCCCTCTGCTAGAATAGCAGTACGTGAGCATACCTCGCGGACTTCCTCTAGCATCCAACTCTCTCAATGAAATCCTAGCATGCACAACTGTCATGGCCTGGAAACCATCCTGGCTGGTGGGCCACGTTTTACAGAGGACAAGCAACTAAGCTGACCACATTTTAGGTCCTGTGGGGTTAAGGTGGACCAACAAAGTGTCCGCATGCACTAAGCTCGAAGAAAACGTATTCGGTCATTTAATGTGCCCGATTTCGTTTCCAGTCAGTTTTGCCCTCAATCACCTCCTGGAATATAATGTAAACCTAGAATTCCACGGCTATCTGTCCCTTTAACCGAATCACGGTACGTCATCTTCATCACATAAGATGATCCACATCCAGAATTAGCGTACGGCTGCCTGTCCCTGTCTTTGACTCTAACCTCGATCGGGACGCTGATTGCCGTTCACTTATTTCGGATAGACCAAAGCATGCATCCTGAACTGCCTAAGCAGCAGCCACGCTTGACACACTGCTCATCTTTCCGCTCTAATCGCTTCTCAGAGGCAAGTTGTGCCAACTAGCTGTCGAAGTTCAGGCGTAAACCACTTCCACCCTCCGTCTTCTTCGCTCTGCCGTGGACCTGCTGCTTTGTAGGTTGTCTTCATCTGAGAGTCAAAATAATTATGTGCAATGGTGCTGCTGTTTCAAGGCCTTGACACAATGGGAGAAAGGGAGAGAAAGAGGGTGCTTATCTGATAGGAATCAGGACAAGGGCTATCTCTCGGAGCCTAATTTCACTCGGGGGCGGAATTACTGCTAGACACGATAATTGGCGCAATTATGCCCGCGCCCCACAGGCTTACGAACTCAGAGAAACTGTCATTTTCGCTGTGTACACTGGCGCTGGTGCGGGAATCGCGAATGCCAACGCGGAGAGTTAGTGGGGGTGGATAGTGGGGTTGTTGCGCGCCCAATTATCACCCCCTAACGGCCGTGATTATTCGCTCGCAGGGCTGCGATGCGCACGGGGCCGTCATGCGTCAGATGTTCCCACTGGGCGGCAAGTTTATAGGCGCAGAGCTGGGGCACGAGGTTTATGGATTTATAAAGCGCATCGGCAAGGAGGGAGTAGGCTCTAATGCAAAACTAAGAGAAGGACTAAAACAGGGAAAGCGCAATTCGTGCGTACGTTAGGCACGATTAACAGACCCACCATTGCCCTCGTTCTTCTGAGCAAACTGAACGCCCTTCTTTCCATAAACTATTTCAACAAACTGGGAAGCACTAGAGGCCGTCTCGTTTCCAATTGGTTCTGCAAGACCTACTTTCCTCTATTTTTTAATATGCCAGCGGTCTTTTGTGCTCAAACACACTGCTTCAGGCCGGCCTCATTCAGTACGCGTCTGCTGACCATAACATTGGTCATCTGCAGCTGAAGGACCACACTGTTTGCTGAATGACAAATTAATGAGGAGACATTTAAGATGCATTTTAACTGTCGTTGACGAACCATTGTAAGATATGTTAGACCCGCCACGTCAATAACGGCGACAGTGATGAGATTGAGCTGCCAGTCGATTCAACTACCACTTTCCCCTCTTATTTTTGTATTATTACGTTAAGAACTTATTGTCATTGTCTATCGCTTGGTAGGTCATGAAAAGTAAAGCCATTATTTGCAAACCGAAACAGCAAGCTCCAAACTTTATGAACGAGGTCATTTTCTTCGATCAGCTAAAAACGGTAGTCTATTTAGAGAAAAGATTGTTTCCCCACCTCTTAACTGTGGGTTTCATGCATTTGTAATAAATTCGGTTATTTTCTTCAAAATTATCAACGTCAACTCTCACGACAAGGTTATCCGGATATTTGTTACGGTCCAAAAGAGAAGCATTATAAATCTGCTCATCAAGTACGAATAAAAATAATGCAAAAAAACGAATGCGACCATCACTGAGAGTCACCTCCGAAGCAGCAAGTCACAATGGACCCAACCAGTTTCTTCCTGCACTTGGAACGATGACACTTCGCGTCTGCACGATTATAAATGTCGACGTTTCAAGGTCACTCGGAAGTGGCGCACTCTAATCTGGTGTGACTGATAACAGAATACGTGCGGTCAGTTCCTCTTAAAGTCCCAGACTAGGAACTTCGCAGACAATCGCGCATCGGTTAGGAAGCAATTGGGGGTTTTGAAGATATGTCGCGCCTATTTTTAATAGTCAGCTGGCTTTACTCCAGCCTCGGCCTGAGAAGACAGAGGATGTTAACCCACCTCGGTGGCTTGAAAGCACAATGCTCTACATCCAAATTATTTATCTATGTTATTTCTCTTGTAAACGGGTATATTAAATATCAGGTATGATTGACGTTCACAGAATCGCTTTGTTTGCAGGACGGCGAATATCGAACTAAAAGCATACTAAATGAGAACCAAATTAAAATGTTGTGTCAATCAGGACTGGTTTTTGAGCGACTGACAAGGCTCAGTGTAACCCATCATTCTGGTAGTAGTGGTATTTCTAACTTACAGTTATTGAAAATTAAGAAAGGACGAAGTAACTCGCTCGCACTGACCTTTATGAACTTTTATGTATCTTAGGAAATAGTTACCGAGAAATCGCTTTCATATTCCAATTAGACAGTACTTTCATCATGAAAATGTGGTAAACCCGATCGGAAAATCGAGGCCTACACTGCCAAAGGCCTTAATGAGGAATTTCAAACATTTCAGATGTGAATTATGAAACTGTTTAGTAAGGTTGTTAAATTTGACACCTCTTTTGTAAGGTAGTATGGGCAGAAGCCCATGAGACGTTGGCTAGAATCTTTCAAAAGGCCTGAAGCTTAACACTATTTCTTAGTAGGCATTGCAAAACAGAGTAGTATGGAACGGAATCTCAAGTAACCTCCCACAACGCCTCATGACAGCCATTACCTGAACATGGTTTAGCAACCTTCCAAATTATACGCATAAAAACCCCCTTCCTGAGCAATGAGCATTTTGTATCGGTCTTCGATCCCTAAGTACATTCAACCGTATTTTATGGACTGCTTTCACAACAATCGTAAAATGTACCTCTTTCTGAACAAATGATGCCTTTTATGATTTTTCTACTTGAGAGAAGTTAGCAAATGTGCTGAGAGTATTTATTAACGCCTGTCCGCTTCGAAAACCTTTTTGTTCTTTAATTTTTATTTAGGTCGTCCGAACTTCAAGCTACGTGCTTTGTCTCAGATAACCTAGCATGTCCAAGTAAGAAGACCTTATGATCACCGCACAGTATTTTAAAACGCATCGACAGGATCGCCTACTTTGTGAGGCAGCAGTCACCGGTCTGAGAAGAGAGGGCTACGCAACAAGTCCTGAAGGCACATGAAGCACTCTCGCAACAAGGAAGGAATCGCAAGTGACCGACCAGGCCGATGCGTGAGGTGAACGTGCGTGGACAGTGTGGGCAGGTGAAGTTAGTGGTCTCGGTGTCAGCTACGGAGAAGGCAGAAGTAGTGGGGATAGGCGCGCAGGGCGATGGAACGACGATGGTGCTGGGCATGGGGGCGTGTTGGACGTGATTGGTGTGTCGGAATTGTGGTCAATTCCACCCAAGTGAACGCGCATGTGGTCGAATAGACCCATGCGATGCGTGACGGTGCGAGGGCAGTGTGGGCAGTGGAGGCAAGTGCGGTGGGTGTAGGTTGATGCTCCAGATACTGCTTCGCCAGTCTCTGTGCGATGGATTCGCAAGTGACCGACCAGGCCGATGTGTGAGATGAAGGTGCGGTCGTAGTGGGGGCAGGTGTAGTCCTGATCCTCATCGCTGGAGTGGAGGTAGTGGGGGTAGTGTCGGTTGTTGTGTCGGGGCTCGTGATGTTCGAGACGGCCGCCTGAGCGGCCGTCGCTGGGGCACTGTTGTTGTTTTTGTTGTTGTTGTTGTTGTTGTTGTTGTTGTTGGAGGAGGAGGAGGAGGAGGAGGAGGAGGAGGAGGAAGAGGTTACAAATTACGGGACTGTAGAGTAGTCAGATGTATTTGGGGGCAGAGAGGACGAGGAAGAGTCGGGCGGAGGGACGGCGGTTGGTGCGGTCTGAGAGGTACGGTTGATCCGAAGATGTCCAACAAGTCCGATTCGAGCCCCGAATGTCTGTTGACATCGAGGACACGTTAGTAGCGGTTGTTCGTCGGCGTTGCGTACTGGGCGCAGTTGTGATTTGCATGCTTCGCGTTTCACTTTGGCGGCGGCGATGCGGTTGGCCTCGTAGATAGCAGCGCCCGTCTTCACTGTTCTCCTCCACACACACAGACGCACACACACACACACACGACAGTTCGACCGTCGATTTCGTCTATGACCACCGTGTGCCCCGCAGCTGCGGCAGCAGCGGTGAGAGCAGGGACGGTGACTTGCGCAGGGGGTTTATAGTGCCAGTAGAATGCGCTGCATCTACCTACACTCTCCCCTCCTCCCCCGCCTGAGCCCGGTGTCAAGACATAGTCAAGAAGACCGGAGACGAGGGAAGCCGCAGGTGGATGGCTCGGACGGATCCTCACCTTGGCTTTCCACCAAACCCCCTGGTCCACACAACAAATAACTAGGATATTCACCAACACAACAGAGTTTGGAGGCTGGCACGACCGAAGCCGCACCTAAGCGTGCCGCCGACGCCTGGCTCGGAACCCACACTGTGGTGGGAGTGCCATAAAGGCCACATTAAAAAGGAGCCATTGCAACCTGACTCTCAGACCACCACCAGTCAAGAAGGAGGTCCAAGTTACCCCGTCAGTTGGCAATCTTCCAAGCCACGGCTTTTAGCGCACCGAGATAGCTTCAAGCGCGTCAGATTGATTATAGTGAGTAAAGTGCGCTGAGTCGTCGACCTCACTCTCCCTTCCCATTTCCACACCCCAGCCGCTGTCCGAGCCGGTCGGCAAACTGGAGTGCGGAATGGGCGCGGTGGCTGACACGGTCGACTGACCATGCCTGCGCGCAACAGCACGACCTGGCCCTCCATACGCACACAAACACCAGGAATTCACACAACGGGGGTTGAACGGCGTGTCTCCCACTTGCGTGAGAGGGCCGTGGAAGATGCTGCTTCAACCCGTCCTCAGCCCACCAGTCCGCCACTCCACACAACACACACACACACACACACAACGCGACGAACTGCGTGAACCGACAGCGGGCCTCAATCAGCAACCTTCCTATCCTCGACGCTTGACGTGTCGGGATAGTCTCAGACTCAAAATCACCCGTGCAGCCGGAGTCGCATGGGAAGCGATTCGAGATGCACACTTCCCACTTGCGTGGGAGGTGGCAGTTGGGTGCATGCGGCGAGTGAATGTTGACGTTTGGTGGTGATGGGGGAGGAGGGAGGTAGGGATTGTGTGGATGTGTGGTGTAACCGGCGGTTGTCTACCGCAGGTCGTCGTGGATGCGCATGTGGCCGTATAGTAGCATGCGATGCCTGAAGGTGTGAGGGCAGTGTGGGCAGTGGATTCGAGCTTGGTGACCATAGGTTGGTGCTCCAGGCACTGGTTCGCCAGTTTCTGTGCGATGGATTCGCAAGTGACCGACCAGGCCGAATCGTGAGGTGAATGTGCGTGGACAATGTGGGCAGGTGAAGTCGGTAGTTTCGGTGTCATTTGCAGAAAGTGCAGTGGGAGTGCTGGGTGGTGAAGTGAGGGTGGGGTGGTGCGTGGTGGATGAGTCGGAGCCGCGGTCAGTTCCGCTCTCTTGGATGCGCATGTGGCCGAATAGACCCGTGCGATGTGTGAAGGTGCGTGAGCAGTGTGGGCAGTGGAGGCGGGTACGGTGGGTGTAGATTGGTGCTCCAGGCACTGGTTCGCCAGTCTCTGTGCGATTGATTGGCAAGAGACCGACCAGGTGTGAGGTGAAGGTGCGGTCGCAATGAGGGCAGGTGTAGTCCTGATCCTCATCGCTGGAGTCGAATGCAGTGAGTTTGGTGTCGGCTGTTGCGTGAGTGGCAGTCGTCTGAGCGGCCTTCACAAGGGCAGTGGTGGAGGAGGAGGAGGAGGAGGAGGAGGAGGAGGAGGGGGAGGAGGTTAAGGGTGGCGGGGCAATCGAGTAGTCGGAGGAAGTTGACGGCGGAGAGGAAGAGGAAGGTGCGGGCGGGGGGACGATGGTTTGTGCAGTTCGAGGGGCGCAGTTGATCCGAAAGTGTCCAACAAGTCCGATTCGAGCCCGGAATGTCCGTTGACATCGAGGACACGTTGGAAGCGGTTGTGCGGCGGCGTTGCATACTGGGCGAAGTTGTGATTTGCGGGCTTCGCGTTTCGCTTTGGCGGCAGCGATGCGGTTGGCTTCGTAGATCGCAGCGCCTGTCTTCACTTCCCTCCTCCAGGTCGGTCGATCGAGTGCAAGCTCTTCACAGTTGGCCGTGTTGATTTGCAGGCACTTCAGGGAAGACTTCAGGGTATCCTTGTAACAGCGAATCTGGCCTCCTTGACGGCGAGAACCCGTCGCGACGTCTCCGTAGAAGAGTCGTTTGGGTAGTCGCTCGTCGTCCATGCGCACCAGGTGGCCGCTCCGGCACAGCTGCATTTGTCTCAGCATCGTGTAGATGCTCAGGATTCCCGTTCGTTCCAGCACATCAGTGTCGGGGATTCGATCCTGCCAGTTCAGTCTCAGGATGCGACGAAGACAACTTAGGTGGAAGTAGTTCAGTCGGCGTGCCTGCTTTGTGTACACCGTCCAAGTCTCCGCTCCGTATAGCAGCGTCGGCAGGATGACGGCCTTGTACATCTTCAGCTTCGTGCTCAGTTGAAGACCGTGACGATTCCAAACTGTGCTTTTGAGGCGGCCAAAGGCTTAACTGGCTTTCGAGATCCTGTTGTCGACTCCGTCATCGAACTTGGTGTTGCGGGAGAGAGTCCTGCCCAGGTACGGGAAGTTCTCCACCACTTGTAGTTGGGTCCTATTCACGCTGATTTCCGGCGCGTTGGGGGGTCGGCGGTGTTGGGTGGCGGTTGATGCATCACCACCATCTTCTGCGTGTTTATGACCAGACCGAAGTTCTCGCAGGCCGCGGTGAACAGGTCCATGCTCCGTTGCATCTCCTCTTCCGAGGTGGTGTTCAGGGCGCAGTCGTCGGCGAAGAGGAGTTCGTGAACGGTGGTTGTGGATACGCGCGATTGGAATTGCATCCGTCTTTGATTCAGGAGGTGACCGTCCGTCCTGTAGGTGATGCGGATCCTGGGGCGTTCGTCGCGGTAGGCGTCCATTAGCATGGCAGAGAACATAAGACTGAAGAGGGTAGGCGCCAGCACGCATCCCTGTTTCACTCCGATGGTCACTGCGAATGCCTCTGAGACAGCTCCGTTGTCCGTGACTCGCACCATCATACCGTCGTGCAGCTGACGTACCATCTGAGTGAATCACTCCGGACAGCCGAATTTCTGCATGATCTTCCACAGTCCTTCACGAGTCACCGTGTCGAAGGCTTTCGTCAGGTCCACGAAGGCAGAGTACAGGTGGGTCCGCATCTCCTGACACTTCTCCTGAATTTGACGGGCGGCGAAGATCATATCCGTGGTCCCACGATGACGCGGAAGCCGCATTTGCTTTCCGGTAGAAGGCCCTGTTCCAGATGGTTATTGAGGCGGTTGAGAAGGATGCGGGCGAAGATCTTCCCGGCGATGTTCAGCAAGGAGATGCCGCGGTGATTGTCGCAGACTTGGCGATTACCTTTGCGCTTGTAGACAGGCACGATCGTGGCGTCCTTGAAATCTTGCGGGACTTCGCCTTGACGCCACATCTCCTGGAAGAGCGCAGTCAGGTGATCCATGAGTTGGGGACCTCCGTGCTTGTAGACCTCAGCAGGGATCGCGTCCGATCCGGGAGCCTTCCCGCTGGAGAGCTGCTGCACTGCCCTGATGGTTTCCTGGCGAGATGGCGGGAGGTCGAGATCCGCGTTGGTCTCCACTTGCGGCAAGCGGGCGATGGCGTCGTCGGAGATGGCGGAGGGGCGGTTAAGGACGCCTCGGAAATGCTCGGCCCATCGTTGTAGGATTTGCGTCTTCTCAGTCAGGCAAGTACTGCCGTCGGCGCTGAGGAGAGGAGCAGTGCCCTTCGTCGCGGACCGTAAACAGCTTTGATCGCAGAGAAGAAGTTCTTCCATTCGTTGCGGTCCGCGTAGCCTTGGATCTCCTCAGCTTTGCGAGCAGTCCAGGCGTCCCGCATCTCGCGCATTCGTTGCTGAAGGTGGCGGCGACTGCGGTAGAAAGCAGCTTTGTTGGCATCAGTGGGGTGATCTACGTAGGCTTTGTGTAGGCGGTTCTTCTCAACAAGCATATTTCTGATGGCGGTGTCGTTGTCGACGAACCAGTCCTGGTGTTGGCGGGGAGTGCGACCAAGGACGGCGAGCGCCGTCGCCTGGACCGTGTCTCGCAGTTGACACCAGCGGTTCTCCACGGAGACGTTCTCGGCAGCGGCGGCGTCGTCGGCGGCGACAGCGATTGGAAGGCTGTGTAGCCGTGGAGCTAGCTCATTGCTGAAATGGAGATGGTGAGCGGGCAAATATAACAAGGCAACTTTCAGCTTACCTGGGGGTCGCTTACCTTGTGGTCTCCTGCGAGGCTGTAGGCGAATACGCATCTTCGAGAGGACGAGGCGACGGTCGGTCCACCCGTCAGCACCCGCGATCGCCTTCGTCACCAGCACGTCCCGCTGGTCTCGCCTCCGGACGAGGACGTAGTCCAGCAGGTGCCACTGGCGCGACCGAGGATGCCTCCAGGTGGCCTTCTCTCGCTCCGGCAGACAGAAGAAGGTGTTCGTCAGGATGAGGCGGTGTTCTGCGCAGGTGCGGAGAAGCAGCAGACCATTGTCGTTTGAGCCGCGGAGACCGTGGGGACCCAGCACTTCTCTCCAGGCAGTATGGTCTGTGCCGACGCGAGCGTTGAAGTCGCCAAAGACAATCAACTTGTCCACCTTCGACACAGTCGCCAAGAGGGCGTGCAGGTCCTCGTAGAATTTGTCTCTTGCGGCGGCGGCGTCGGGGCTGCTCTTCGGCGGAGCGTAGGCGCTGATGATGGTGGCGAATTTGCCTCCCCAGAGAGGCAGGCGGAGGCTCATCAGGCGATCGTTAATGCCCTGCGGCAAACAGGGCAGTCGTCCCACGATGTCGTTCCGGATGGCGAAGGCGACGCCCGCGTCACGTCTCTCTGCCCTGGGTCGACCACTCCAGAAGAAGGTGTAACCGGCACCCACCTCCTCCAGTTGGCCTTGTTCGGAGAATCGGGTCTCGCTGAGTGCGGCGATGTCCACCTTGTAGCGCGCCAGTTCTCGTGCCACTAGCGCCGTCCTCCGTTCCGGTCGGTTGCTCCTCGGACTGTCTAAAAGGGAACGAGCATTTCGGGCTGCCAGAGTGAGCGGACTCACTCTGCCAGTCTGGTGACTGCGGCGGCGAAAAGTAGGAGGAGGGGAAGAAGGAGAATAGGCAGGAGGAAGTGAAAGATGGTTGTTTTTGTTGTTTCGGTTTTGGCTGTTTCGATCGTGTGTTTTTTGTCTGCGGCCACGGCCAGCCTACAGACAGCGTGGTTCCCTGCTATCTTTAGGGCACCTTTTCTAGCCCCTTCCCCTCGCGAGGGCAGGCAACGCATCCCTGAATAGGGCTGCCCGGTTATCCCAGACGGCTGCCGGACTCCACTATGGGCCACGACTTTTTTTAGTGAGAGAACGACCCGAATTAGCCTGGGACCTTGGTGGTGATGGTGATGTGATGGAGTGAAGTAGGAGAGAGCATACACACAACCAAACGCTATGGGACTTAGAACTAGAGTGGACAAGCAGACACAGTCATCAGTCAGAGACAGAAGTGAGAGGACACCATTCAAAGTCAAGCACAATAATACCTAGCTATTAGCAGAGAGAGGCATAGACGGACAGACAGACGGTCGCAGCAGGCATCGAGAGTTTCATCTAGCTATTAACAGGCAGACTAATGTATAGAGGGCAGGCAGCAGGAGCAGCATACGACACGGAACTTCAACAGACAAAAGGAGAAACAAGGCAAATTCACTTACCTGGAGAAGAACTTACCTGGTGGCCTCCTGAGATGGTCCAGGCAGAGCCTCGCCTCGACGATGTCGTTGCGAAGATCCATCCGGCCAGCGCAGACCACAGTACCGCGCGTGCAGGTGCACGCACGGATACCCTCACCTGGTTTAGCCCGCCAGTCGAGGCGGTTGTCCGGGGTGTGGCCGCTGAGCAGAGCCCAGCTGCGTGGAGCCACAGGTGAGAATTGAGTGCCAACAAGTGGACGCTAGGCATAGTCTCACCTGCAAGCAAATGAGCGACCACCACGACCATCACGGGGACCCACCGCTGACACCCCTACACCCCACACTCACACACACACACACACACACACACACGACAGTTCGACCATCGATTTCGATGATGTCCACCGAACACATTTTTGTCACTGTCTCCGCTGGTGAGTCCGAGTGAGAATCCGAAACGTCAGGCGAATAAAGCTCATGTTCCAGCTGTCGCTTCTACTTCTTATCAACTAGTTCCCGGAACTCGTATCTTCGCTTGTATCGGTAATGTGGTTAGTAATTTTCCCAACCCGACAGCTTGCCAGGTCCCCGAATAATTAAGACTACTCATATTGTACACAGTTTCTCAAGGCAATTTAGTCTGCTTTCTAGTAAAAGTCACTCCTCATACTATGCTCATCACTCTCAAAACCCTTTTCATTACTCCTATTTTGGCTCCATAATATGGCATTCTTCCCCATGTATCCTACCTGAATATGTTTAAATACATTAGTGCAACTTCATTTAGTGGTAACATCCACAAATTTTGGACCCAGCAGCATTGCTTTAAGGCCTTTTCTTCCTCCCTACAGCTTAATTTTCCCCCACCAACTCTTCCTTTTTTATAAACGGTAATGAGTGTAACCTGCCTTTCAGGAATATGCCCAGTATTGTTTCCCCAGTGCGAGATCAATCGTGCAAAGGATGGCTCAGCTGAGAACTGTGGCCTTTGAGTCTGACCCAGATATTTTGTGCATTACTTGATTTCAGGCTCACTCTAATTTCCGACTGGGCATTCGCTATAAATAGTCTCAATTTATACCGATAAGACCGCGTTGAAAAACGTAGCGGTGACAGTTTTCCATATAGCAGAGCCTCTCTTGTGCGTTCACCCTACGATCTGAACACGACTTCCTTTTCTGAAAATCTTAGTTTTGCTTCAGTCATCCTCCGTAAAAATAGGAAAGCGTTACCTGGATGTGTATTTAATGCTCCTGGTTACCCCGGCAATTGAAGCCACCTCTGTGATCTCTTAAAAGAGATCTTAGAGACTTCATGTGATGTCAAAATTATGGCAGGCGATTCTAATTTGCCAGCAATTCACCGGCACACAAATACTTCCTCTCCTATACCCCGAAAGATTCAGGAAATTATTGACTTTTTAAACTGATATCAATTAGTTCACTTACCGACCAGAAGCGATAGTATACTAGATTTAATTTTCACTAATTACACCCACCCTTTATTTATGGATTTCTACGGTGACCTTTAAGCAGGTGATCGTGCACTGCTTCATTGTTGCCTCCAAGTTTCCCTTTATGCCAAACTAGCAGTAAAGCGTAACTAACTTGACTTGACTAATGTTGACAGGGAATTAGTAAATAACTATGTAAGCAGCCTCGATTGCCGCAATATTTTTTTCAAATGCTGATGCAATCTCTTTCCACAATTTATTGCAGTGCCCTGCAGAAGGTCTTCTTGGTTTCCTTCCACTGCAGGCGCTGCTTATTCTAATGTTCACACTTTTATTAAACACAGGCTCAACAGGTTACGAAAGCAGTTTTAAGATCCTTCTCTATGTTCACTTAAGAACCCCAAAAATATTTGAATTGGCTTCACAAATGAGGCTCCTAGAGCGCCTCTATTTATTGGTGATGCAAACACTTCTAGATTTGTTTTCCACTTCTTCCGTCAGGCATCGTCAGCTACGCCCATCGAGTAATTCCGCCTTTATTAAGCTGCAGTAATGTTTACATTACAGAGGTGTCTGGAAAAACAGCGCTGTTAAATTCCTTCTTAGCCAGCCATTTTACTATTTAAACTGACTCCACCCCTAAATTCCTCCGTAATCTGTTACTTGGCTTCAGCGGATATTCAAAAACTACTAAGCCAGATTAGCAGCTCGCACCAAGTAGGACCTAGCAACATCCCGAACCTCTCTCTTGCGCAAATTATTTTCAGTCTCGTTCGAGAATTGATGCTTTCCTGATAATCAGCAAACTTCCAGTGTTATTCAAATAGGTAAATCTGACTATTGTTCTGTTGCCGAAATTTATCGAGGTATTCATGAAGCGCCCTGTCACGACAAACTCTTTAAAAAAAATAATTGCCATGAAAATTACTAACTTATGCATAGTCAATGAAGTTACTAGCTCTCCCGAACATGTCTTTTTACCCCATCCCTTTTGCGAAACGCGTCATTTTGCAACGTCCTGCTGGTTTAAGGATTAGGTAGACGGGGGTAGACTTGGGTTAAGTTATAACTTCCGCTTCTTTCTCACAGAATTCGGTTCCTGATGATCCGTCTGTAAAGAGTCCATCGTTCAAGCACTCGAGAGCAAACACGCGGGATAGGTGGTGATGAACAAATAACAGTTGACGGGCAGAAACATTTTCTTGGGACGTAACGAATTGTTACCCAGATGGGTAACTGTACTAGTAAGCTAACAAACGGGATAAACAAAAACGATAACGGAGGAGTGGAAGAAGAGATGAGTAGGGGACCAAGATGATCTTCGTTCGCGTTAAGAGCTCCTCGCATGTTTTGTTGCCATGGTCGAAATAAAAGGGAACCACTAATTAAAATAGCGGGGGTTGGTCCTTCAGATCTACAGGGTTGTTACAAGCTGCCTTTCCTCAACCTACATACTTCTTATCGTAGTGATAAATTCTCTGTGGTTTTTATAATATGTTGATCTTAGTAAAACACCTGATGAAGCATCACATAAAAGAAAATTTGTTTTACTGGAAGCTCTACGACTTCGCAATCCAGTAATTAACTTTACACCGTCATGCCTGTTAAATCGAAAAGAATAGGTTCCCGTGGGGTCCTCATTTTTTAGTGAGAGTCCCATTGTTAACGCTGTCCTCCAATTGGAGGTACATTAAGGTACCGTTTTAGGTCCTCTTTTATTTTTTCATCATACTAATGATAACTCGACAGCAGTCTAACATCCTCGGTCATTATTTATGCTGACGATCTTAAATGTGTGCGTTCTTTCTCTATATCTACGACCCAACAGTGGCTGGAGCAAATCAATGCTGACCCCCTTACTCTTTACGCGTGGAGTTCAAAATAGATAATGGAATTCTCTCCGACCAAATGTCGTTACATATATTTTGAGCATGAAGGCCTACACCAACCGGTGTTTTTTCACCGCACAACATTGACAGGATGTCCCGCCATCAAGGAATTTAATTTAAATTACACTAATAACCAAGATCGCTCACCACAGGCACAATTACGGTCAAGCTGCCCATATTTGTGGCTTTATTTTTTAGTAATGTCTACCTTCCTGAAAAGAAAATTAAGGCATTATCGGATTCTCCTTCCCATTCTTGAATATTTCTGCCCATTCTCTAGTTTACTGATGGAAATTGCTCGCTCTAAACTTGAAGGTATACAAAGGCATTTTACTAGAAGACTCTTAGATTAGGCACATCCAAATACTTCCTACTCAACTAGGTGCCTGCTAGCTAACCTAAAAGTCTTATAGGTTCGGAGAAAAGAAGCCGGTTTCTGTCTCACTCTTCGCATTGATAATAGTTCAACTCATCCTCAGATTTCACACCATTCCCATACGACCCTCTCAATTATTTCTTCACAATACCTCCAGACACCTCCATCTCTAAGCGCTCCCTCTTCGTTGCTCCCAGGTATACTTTTTTATGAAATAGCATTCCAATTGATATAAAATCATCAAATAACCTATATTTTTGTTAAGATAAGACTATCTAAATACGGTCCTGCTTAAACTTTCATTTTCGCTATTCTTCTCCGGAAAATTTCCATGGGACTTTAGATAGAACCATCGGCAATTTAGGACGTCGGCGTCAAATTACTGTGTCCGCCAAAACCTCCCCCTCTACCTTTCCACGTTCTCTCATCAGAAGTTTCGATTTTTTCCGTTCTCACATCGGGTGCCTCACGAAGCTCAGTTTCCTCCCCAGTCAACCTCTCAAATAAATAATCGAGGCCATATTGACGTGCCATCAGCAAGCCGTTTCTGTTTCGCTTGCCACTGAGCTTCATCTGGATTCCGTTCCGGCCTCTGGGATATCGAGCTCTGACACCTAGAACTTTAGTCTTAGACTACTTTCTCTATGTGTGCACTCACGTGGACGAGATCCGTCCAGTCTTGTTCATGTGGCGGAACTGATAACAGGAATTTCAGTGGGTGGTTCAGACGATCACGATATCCTTGAAAAATATAAGGGCAAATCACTTAATTTTACAATAGTTTCTACTGGGTGACCTCCAAAAAAGCTTACATATTTATATATATACTCTTAAAAGCGCACTGTAAGGTCAATCACTTGTGGTGAAGTAAAA